TCAGGTTTAACGCAGCGAATTATTGTCCAAGAGAAGAATAGTCCCGATTTCCTGTGCGACTCAATGGATTGTTGTATCGTCGGATTAAAATCGAACCGCGTTACCAAATCTCTTCTGTGATCCCCGCGAGTGCAATGAAACTCCTCTTTCTGGCTTTCTGATTCTGTAAATCAGAAGTTTCGTCGATAATCACGAACTTCTCTAATTTAAAAGCCTCAAGTTAAAAAATGAGAATAAAGAAATGAATATTTATGATAAATTTAATGCTTGAAGCAAAAATTCACAGACACGGGAGTACGTGAAACGTCGAGATAATCGAAGCAATTTCTGAAAGAAAACAAATCTTTAAGATTCACATATAATAAACTGAGACAAATTTCCAGGATCCATATCCTTTGTAAGTATAAATAAATATTTCAAAAAAAAAAAAAAAAAAAAAGAATTTGTAGCTTAAAGAAAAAATGCACAGGGTCAATCAGTAGCGAAACAAGATGCGAAACATTAAAATCGAAGTAATCGTTATAATTTCTAAACGAAACAAATTTCCAAGATCCATATCCTTGTTGTAAGTAAAACAAAAAAAAAAAAAAAATGAATTTGAAGCTTAAAGAAAAAAAATGCACAGAGTGCGGAAACATCCAATCGACTGTACGAAATATCCCAATCGTTATAATTTTTAACAATTTCCGAACAAAACAAACCTCTAAAATACACATGTAACAACTGGAACAAATTTCCAAAGAGAATGCGGTAAACGAACTTGTCAATGTGAAAGATTATTATTAAAATTGAAATTAAACCAATAACGCTGTCTATAGATCATCCGTTTGAAACCTAAACCAGGAAGCTCGCGAAAGCAAGGCCACCGGCGTGAATTCGAGTATACACCGACCTAGTTTCTCGGGGCAAGCGGTCCCAGCTCGTTCCCCATGCTGATTCATCCTGCGTCTGGCCTTGTCCTCCGCTCGAAGCTTGTCCCTGGTCGGTGGGGATGCGCTGCTCGCTGGCTGATCTCTATAACTCGATCTACCCTCGTTCGGTGCAATCGGTGGCTTCTCCGTCAGCGAGCCGCTGGCTGACACGGTCGTCGTGGAGGTCGACGTGGTCGAGTAGACCGTGCTGGACACGCTGCCGTTCATCGACGAGGTGGATGGAACGGAAGATACGTAAGCGGAACCACCGTTCTCCAGAGGCGCGTTGCTTCTCAGAGGCGACAGGCTGTTCGTTCGATGATCGTTGTTGCTCTCTGCGTTGCCGTTGCTCATCGCTGCGTTGCTCGTGGTGGTGGTCACCACGCTGTTGGTCACCAGAGACGGCGTGGAGGAGAACACGGATGAACAGAGGTCGGAGGGTACGCTGGTTTCCGGGATCCATGGATTACTGCGAGGCTCCGAGCGACAGCTGTTGAAACGAGGTCGCGGAGGGTTCGGCGTGTTGCCTGAGAACCAAGCAATGTTCCATGTTTGTTGCAATTCCAATTCAATTGCTCGTTCGTCTACATCGTTTTACATTTGAGTTATCTAACGTTACAACTACTATAGCGGCGAAAACATACGATTAATATATAATTTTTTATAGAAATTTTCTACACTTTTTATTACAACGTTACGATGCCGATTGATTTCAGATTTATTGATCAAAATAAATTTTTCCATTTAAAATTAGTATTATATTATACTTTTATTACTATACTATTATTATATTATACTTTGCAAATGTTCCACTCCTTTCGATCAGCAATCTAAATGACATTGTTAAACTAATGAATAACCCTATAAATGACTTTGTAACGTTCAGAATATTTAGAAGAATTAAGAATATTTTATTTAGTAATCGTCTAATATATAAAAACATTCTCAGAAAACTTTAAATTTTACAGTCTTTCGAGTCTAAATAGTTGAATAAAAAAAACAAAAATATAATTTTTACTGCGTGATTATAAATAATATTAGAGCGATATTTTTAATAGTAGTAATATTAATAGAGTATCATCTTAACAATGTCTCTGTAATTTGGTAATAATATAAATTTAATAACCAATGACAGACATCCTAATTATTCTTTAAAAGAGCAATTTATCCTCATTTACGATTCATTTAACACCGTCGAACTTTCGAACTCAATAAATTACTTCATTGGAAATAAAGTCTCTGCAGCAAGATATATTTCATCTTTATATAATTTATACGAGGGCCGATTAATTCGAGCTCAATTACTTACTTCTGATCGTCGGTGTGACCTGAAGGATGGTAGTTTGTCCACCGGGGAACGTCGCGTTCCTCTTATGCCGGCCCTGAAAATTATTTCAATTTTAATTAATTAATTTTAATAACTTTCGTTTTTTCAATAAACAACGTTTTCCAATTCATTTCATCAATATCGTACAAAGTCTATACATTCTTCTTACTCGAGATTTAAATTTCGTATTCTTTCGTTATCAATAAAGTGTCGATTAAAAATTAATGTTCATCTACAGCGACTTCAATATTAGATTACTGTTTAAACATCGAAATTTTCTAATTTTCTTGTTGCAAATATGGAGAGGAGATATTCGTGATGATTAAAAAGACCGATATGAATTAATACTAAGAAACAGATCTAACATCAATTTGTTCTCCAAATCTTCTATTCTTTGTTTATATTTTAATATTAATATTTTGGTATAATGTACAGGATATCATTATCACATTGAAATTCACATCATAATTTACTATTCTTCGTTCATAAAATTAATCTCAAATCTATTTTCATCGCGAAATATCATATTTAACCGTGTGGTAAACAGTCTAATGTCAAAGTTCACTTTTGAATTTCTTCAAAGTGAATTTTTATTTTTGCTGATTATTCCATCGAATGTTCGATTTAGAAATCGATTTTATATTAAAATACTTTGGTAAGTATCTCAAAATTTGTTTTAGATTTTTTGAAAGATCATCAGTAAAAAAATGTTGGCCATTTAGTCAAACGATCCAGATTGCGCGCGAAGGATCAACGTCGGAACTAAGAAACTATAAAAATTCTATCAGAGAAATCAGATAGGAGGAAGTTTATAAAAACAAACTTTTCTTCCATATATTTTACAAAAATCATCCAAGTCTCTAATAATAGTAACACTGTAAATCAATTCTGCAAAAACTATTCTAAAAAAAGATTACAAATTAAATACTGATCATTGTAGCGCAGATTTTGCGATTTTGCAGACTCGCAATGTTTTTAGTCTCGTGTGAATCTACTTTAAAAACTACTTTAAAAAAAAAGAAGAAGATTACGAGTTAAATTAATTAATTACTGATTTGACAGTTCTCAGAAATACCCGTCGCGACGAGCGTCAACCGGATTGATACCGGAAAAATCCTCCTTCTCCTCGCTCGTCGGAGGACCGAGCCGCTGGATTCAAGATCCCGCTTCGATAGAACCGATTGAATCGTCCATGTATTGCATTTGTCTGGCACACAGTTCGGACTTATGAATTATGCACGGCAAGAAGAGCGCACTCGTCGCGGAATATTATCAGGCTCGCTGTTATCGGCCGCCTACCGCGACCCGATCGTGCACACGCCTGCCCTCGTACACCCACGTGCAAATTCTACGACATTCCACCGTGTAGTCGCGATGTCCGCGCGAGGATAACAATTATTTTTTTACGGCGACTTTCCATCGACGCGAACGCGAGAGAACATAGTGGACCAAAAGAGAAGTATCGGCCCTCTGCGAGTCATCCTCGCGAAAGCAAATCATGTATCAACGAAATGGTTCATCTTACGTAGTAACGTAACAGCGATAGCTATAATTAGTACATACGTCTGCATCATAAAAATAAGACCAAATCTCAATTCTGCAAATCTAAAACTATACAATAAAAAAAAAAAGAAAAAATAAAGAGGACTCTAAATCTTGAAGATCGAACAGGTGCCGATCTCTTGCCTCGCGAAAAGAAGGATCTCGAGACAACCTCATGTTTTATTTCGCATCGGAAACTAGAGTTGTTTTTCGCGAAACAAAAGGCCTGTTTCCTACGCGCGTTCACCAGTTCGTTCGATCGTGTTGGCGTGCGTGCGTGTCGCCTTGGCCTCTTAAGCGTAATCGTACGTTTACACCGAGAGTTGCAAGTCCCCACGGCGACGATCGTCGTTTCCATTTTGCCGATCGATCACTCCTTTG